GGTGCCTCCCTGTGCAGGATCATTATATAGCCTCCAATAACTTCTGGAGCTTCCGTAGCAATCACAGTGAGTCATATAACAGCAAGTTCAAGAAGCTTTAACAAATTAGAAATTACATACATTTTCTTGAAAGAACAAGTAAGAATTCTAAACGGGTCATATAACAGTCCTTTCTAGTTTCTGGACAGGCAGTAAAATGTAAGCTCAATGCAAACGCATTTTGTTGCATTTCATAAATTAGTACTACAGTATGTGTCTGGAGCATTCTGTGACTGATGAATGCAGAACACCTAGTATTTTCTAGCAGTATTACCCATAGCCTTTGAAACATGAAATCATTCAGTTTGTTTGGTTAAGTAAAGAAACATGCAAAGTGCTTAACAATTGAAAATGGACTCTTTAGGGAAAGTGATGAATGTAGATGGGACCTAAGATATTACATTCTTCCTGTCTCTCTTTGGGGACCAATCCCCTCTGCTTAATCCAGTCAATGGAAGACCTATAAAAACAGAAGCTGGCAGAAGTGATATTATTCCATAGTAGGTCAGGGTGGTGGCTGGGGCCTTGTCATTCTTAGCCAACATCCACCTCTAAGGCTTGTCCTGTCAGACCTGTGCTATGAAGGATGGCATGGGAAGTGTTGTATTCTATGTAAGCCTTGGTAAGCCTTCTTTTTCTATTGATTTCAAAGTATGAAATAGCAGTTACTGAATCCATATTTGCTGGGAACACTGTCTGGCAGGGGACCTAAGATTTTTCCAAGCTTTTGTGATTTGCACGGATAGGCTTTATCTTCCATTTTTGAATTTCAGGATTGTAGCATTTTTTTCTGTTGCACAGGAAGTTTAAACCTTGGCTACAAAAATGGTCGGACAGCATGGCCACTGTCTTTGCAATTGTCGTTTTGAATACAAACTCAAACCTCCCTCTGTCTTTTCTCCACACATGCGTCTACAGAAAACTGACTTGCTTCTCTCTTGCCTCCTCAGAGTGAAGCCTAATCACTTCCAATTGATTTTGTTGTATTGACTGGATTTACTAGAGCTATTGATCATGAGGCCTGTTTCTCCCTGTTTCCTCATGCAGGTCTGGGATAGATAAAACTCAATCAAAGTTTGACATTTGTGATTGGGAAATGCTGTCTGCTTTGTGCCTTCTTGCTAAAGCAGCTCTTGGAGAAGTTTATTGATTTCAGTAGATGTCATTAAGAGAGTACTTGTATTTGCTGATGCTCATAAGAAACTGGCTTTTCAGGTTTTGCTGTTAGAAGATCAGAAATGCAAATTTAGAAGCTTGGCTCTTTGCCTTTTACTAGGGATAACCAATCAATTATCATATATATATATTTAATTGAATCTGCTTTGCTTTTTAATGAACATGATATTAAATACATGAATGTAAAAAGCCTAATATAAAATATAGTAATATAAATGTAGTTCTGAAATATTTTATAATTGTTAAATTACAAGGTAAATGGAAAGGTTTAGTGTCCTTATTGTACAGTACAATAGTACTTTGCTTTGCTCTGAGTGAGGTGCTGTTTTTGATGTATCCCAGATTGCCAGTAGTGAATTAAATTTTATTTGGAAAATTAAAATGGTGTCGTTGTAATTGGGCCAAAGCCAAAACTGATCACAGCATTTAATTCATTCTTCATGTCCCCCTTGGGAGTCAAAGTTATCAGAACCAGCAGTGTTCTTTCTGGAAAGTCTGCTTGCTGGCTTGTCGGTGACTCAATACTACACTCCAAAAAACATGGTATTTAATGGAAACTAATTTAAATTGCAAGAAGTGAAGTTCAGGATTTTTTATGTATTCATTATTAAATTGTAGTTAATCATGCAGGGCAAAATAATCTCAATATCCTGAGATACAGAAAGGAAAAATGTAGTTTGGGGAAAGACTGGATCTGGCAAGATCTGGAGTGTTCATGAACAGCAAATGTTTTTTACAACAGATTTTCCAGAAAAACCAAAAGAGTATAAACAGTGGTTTGAATTAGGCAGGCTGAAATCTGTGTACCACACACACAAAGCTACTGTGGGGTTCAGCCCAATGCTAGTGCCAGAACTAATGTTACTGAAGCTTCTTAGCATTTTGTAGCTGGAGGTTGTTGCTGGAGAAATAGGACTGAGGTCTATGTCTGCACTGTCATGGAGATCAGTCACTGAGGCAGATCAAGGGAGCCAAGAGTCCAGCCAGTTTACTCTGTTAGCAACCTGCCAATGTACTGTACTGTACATTTTAATGATGGATTAATCTTTAAAGGTTTCAAGATGTTTCTAAGTGGTTTATAGCAGCACAGACAGTTCATCTGCTTGCCTGCTTGTCCTTCACTCCAAAGATACATGTAACTAATATGGCTGTGAGGTAGATTTGTTTTTAGTGAATTTGAAGAGATACAATTTGAGGAAAAGTTTCATGCACAAACCTATTAGGTTGGAAAGGCTTGAGGAATTACATAGTCTAAAACTGTACTTCAGGACAGCTCCTGATGAGTCAGACAAAGGTTGCGTGGTAGTTTCAAGGAGTCGGCAGAGGTTTTTGAATCATCTGAAGTTTACACTGAGCGAAATACCATCTTCCTTTGCTTTCTGGGTGAACGCTATCCTCTCTCTGATGTTTCTTTATTGTCCCATTCACCTCAAAGTTGTGCCGATTGCATCTGTCTGTCGCCAATTTAGTTGGCAGTTTGTCAGAAAGTTGTTAAACCTGTTTATATTTGTCTGTTTTATAAATATTGTTTCTGTATCATTTGTGTACTACTAACTCAGTGAAGGATCCCATTGAAGCTGTTACATGAAGGATCCAGTGAAGTACGCAACACACAGTAGCCAAAGGGTTTGTTTCCAGCATCCATGGCTGTTGTTTTCTGTACTGGGTGCTCCTAGCCTGAATATCTGGTCCTCCTAAGGCCGTGGAGCTCAAGTTGAAAATGAAGTATTCTCCCATTTGAAGATTTGAAGGTGCACCTCCCTTGTGCCTTTATTAGGGCTTGGGGCACGTGTTTGCACCAACTAATGTGGAAATGACAACAGCTCATCAGCCCTGGTGGAGACCTCAGGCCAGAACAAGAGCGGGTTCTTCACCGCTGCCTTCACATCTGTTCCTGACCTCTCCTATTGTGTTGTTCCCGGCGCAGAGGGCGATGTCTGGGAGGAAGGAGAGGCAGGTGTCGCTGGAGGAGGAGAGCTCCAGTGAGAAGAGCAGCTCGCCCACCCCAGGGGACACCCTGCCCTGGAACCTGGCCAAGCACCAGAGGACCAAGCGCTCCAAATCCACGTCCGGCAACGGCACTGTGCTGGACCCTGCGGAGAGGGCCGTCATCCGCATCGCAGGTAGGAGCGAGTGGCAAGCGTGTGGTTGATGGGATGAGATCGATTAGTCCTAAATGGTTGTGTCATTGTCCGTTTGCTGGAATTTTGTGGATCAGCACTGATTCCAGCATTCCAGTGTCTTAAAGGGGAACGGCAGTTTCAATTCCTCAGACCAGTTATTAAATCTCGGTAACAAAATTAATTCATTGCCATTAGAGAAAAAAATACACATTTCAAATTAAGCACAAAATTGTGAACTTTGTGAAAGTTCTATAAGACGCCATGTTGTTGCAAGCTCACATGTTGCAAGTTCCCTGGAATTGCGACGAGATGTGGCCCTTCCTGCTCACTAGTCACTGTAATGCCTAAGGTAATAAGATGTACAAGTGAATGAGTACAGGTTGTGCAGCAGACTTTTCACTGCAGAAATGTTCCAATGTGATCTGCATGCAGAGTTAACAAGTAGTATGTGTTGGTAAAACCTTCTCAAAATCGAAAGCAATATTCCTATTGGCTTAAAAGAGAAGTATTCACAAGCCTGTTTGTTTACAATAGGGCTGCAATACGTGAATGGAAATTCTGTTCCCTTGTTCTGAATCACAGAACATGGCAATGCGCATACCTGAAAATTTAATTTATTTTAAGGTTTTTCATGTTACAGTGTACATTTGACTTTTATTGCAGTTTGAAATGCACTCATCAATGCTGATTCTTTCTAACCCCGAAATATGAAAATAGTGTTGCATTTCCCTTTAATTAATCCCTGGTCAGCTTTAACAATGTGGACAAATAGCTTATTCCAGGCACCCACCACCCTCTGTGTAAAACACTGCCTCCTGTCCACTGTGTTTAGTGCTCTTCCCCTTAGTTTCCTCTTGTGAGTTCTCATTCATTTTCCATTGTTGACACAGGAAAAAGTATTTTGGGTTATCATTATGTTTCAGATTTTTGAGTATGTGTGTTACCAAGTCCCCTCATGACAGTTCCAGAGCAGTAATCCTTTTTTGTAACATGGGGATTACAATTGTTCACAGTATTTTAAAACAGGTCTAGCTGTACCTTTGTAACAATTTGAGCCCTGTTTTTCTTTATTTAAATGAAGTTTTATTGCTTCCCCTCATTGTCTGAAGGAGGATGGTGATGAGTCAGCATGTCCAATCACTAAATCCTTAGGGTTCTGTGAAAGAATGTAATGTAAATGCACATGAGAGCTGTGAGTACAGTATCTGTGAATACATGTTGAGGGGTCACAGTGATATGGTAACTACATGTTTCAAAATGTGTATTCTTCATTCAAACAGTTCCTTAATTGAACTTGAAAGTGTGATTCATACTACAAAACTAATAGCAATATTGTATCTCAAATGATTTACTGTAACACTTTGTTGGAAAATTAGAATTACCTTTTTACAGTGTTCATTTGATCTGGTAATAGTTTCATTAGCAGTCTTTGTGCATGAACAGAGCTAAAATGCTGCAGGACATTCTGTTGTAATACAACTGTATACCAGAGATGGACAGTTCCAGTCCACTAGGTCTGTCCCTGAATATAATTACCTAATTAAACTAATTATGTTAGTTTATTGGGTAAGTGTATGTTACAAATTAAAATAACAGCTGTCTAATCTATAGACATTGGCCTTTGATGACTTGAGCTGCTCATCCCTCCTATACACAATAAATATACAGATGGCCTGATAGAAGTCTCCTTTCAAAACTACATATCCATGTTCATTACGCCTGAGCACCGCAGGCTGTGTGTTCATGGCTGTGCCCTTGGGAACTGCGGTTCACCAGTTCTCTTTTGGAGCTGCCTGACAGCTGGTCTTTCCAGCGCTGGCGCTTGCTGCACCCCAACGAAATTAAAATGTTGTCCAGCTCTTTTTGTTGACAGCGAGGCGAAATGTTCAGTAGGATTCTCCTGATGGTTCGGGCATACACGGGGGGGGGGTGGGGTGGGAGAGCTTCAATTTTGAGCTCTGCTGCTTTGACTGCCTTTTCGCAGTACTCCCGCAGTAGGTTTATTACTTCCACCTATAGCAGTTACAAGCACAGAACTGCAACAGGCAAACAGTAGGCGCAGGTCAGGGTGTCACCTGTGTGGCTTGGATTGCAATCATTGTGTGAGCTGGTACTGTATCTCTCAGCCCTGCCCTGGCTTCCCAGGGTAAAGGCATCTAAGCAATCAACTTCCCCTACACCCTCTTTGCTGTAGGGCTGCAGGGAAAATGCCCTCATTAATTAAAATATCACTCTGTAACTTCTTGCAATTTGCATCGTATGACAGGATAGAAGCTGTGAGTCAGGAAGAAACCATGAAAGGCTTTTCTGTTCCTACAGGAAAACTGTTTAGGAAACTGCTGTGATTTGAGCAGTGATAAACAGTAAACAAACTTGCAGGAAAAATAAGCTTTTGTTTTTAGTACAAATCTAAATATGTAACACATAATGGGCCTTGCATATACTGTAGGTCTTGATTCAGATGTTGTAAGCAGCAGGGGTGGGTGGATGAATGAATAAATCCAGTGCATAGATTCTACTGTTCTCCTTTCCAATGCATTACACAACTGTGAAAATGACACCTCAATACTGCAGTTTTTTTAGAATCTGAAAGCCACTGAAAATCTGTAATTAGTACAGTCATGTGATCTATCTGCCACCCACCTTGCTGTTTCATTGCTTTTTATATTGTTCTGTTCTTCCAAGATACCAGGGATGCGTCTTCCCGAATTAAAAAGGAAGAAAAGGAATAAGACTCCCCCGAATTAGCCGAAACGACGGCTCTGCAGGCGCTGCTTGTTAAAAAAGAGAGGGCACCAGCTAGCTCCCAGATTGCGTGGACTTGCATGCTCGGATATCAACCTATTCAGTAATCGATCCTGAAGCTAAACTTGATCTCGGGTTGATCGCAGGCTATAGAAAAATACTTGAGCGGTGATCCTGGAGGGTTTGCAACAGATGGCTACTGAGCCATTCGCATAGCAAGTTTGTGGATCCAGTCAGATTCTTGGCAAGGACAACCCTCGTGTGTTTTCCAGCTTTTGCAGTGTGGAACTGGGCAGTGGACAGAGCACATGGACTCTAAGGAGACTGCTCTTCTGGAGGCAGTTTGTTTTCAAGCGTCTCTGATACACTAGTAGACAATTGTATTCATAAGAAAACAGGTCATCTGACCTATTTGCTATTCGAGGGGATCTAAGCAGTGGTTTTAGCTAGGTTATATCCCAACAACCACACAAAGCGTGAAGCAAGGAAAACAGTGAGAGCGGATGGCATCAACTCCTTCCTGTTGTACCTTACTGTGCTCAAAGTGCTTTATGGTTATAGTGGCCAGTGTCTGTTTGCTGTGTTGCAGGAGACAAAGGAGCTCATTAGGTCTGAAGAGTTTGCTTTACTGGATGAAATAACAGTGCTCTTTTATTAAAGAACACCAACATTCTCTGAAGGATTTCCTTTCTTGGATTGTGCACATGGGTGAGAGCACACACGACTGTGCTAGACTCCCTTTTTGTGATTGATGTTTAGTGGCAGGGGGTAGCGACAGTTTAGAGGTTTTGTTTTATGACAGTTATGCCAGTGCTGAATCTATTCTGTTTCTATTCTATTTCTATTTTCAGCTAATGTTACAACTGATCCATTTTGTATTTATCTTTTGAAATTCAGAATCGGCGATTATTTCTAATTTTTTAATATTCCCAGCCATAAAAACGCTTTTTTGCGTCTCTACCTGCCACTAGAAACACTGTCTCCGCACACAGGGAAGCATGAGGAGATGTGTGCAGACTCTTCCACCCCGCCCACCTTCAAGCTACTCCTCTCTTAACACATCACAGGATAATTTATTATTAATGGTAATAAGTAAAGTTTAAAACAAGCAAACTCTTTCAAACAGAGAATGTTTGTAAAAAAATATTGTACTATCCTCAGTAGTGTGTTTTGTTTAGCATTCAAGGGCTTCTGCAAATGTGTTGTCTATGTTTTCATTTAAGGCGGCTGATCGCTCATGGGCCTCTGTAATAAACACACATTTTATTTAAGTCAAGCCAGCTCTCAGAAAGCCTCAAACCTCTGGAATCTCTAGAAAAGGCCATGTGTCCTTCATGGGGCTCAGGTCTCCTGCCAGTGTTTTTCAGAATGGCTCACAACTCCAGCACTGGCAGTGTCCTCTGTCTGGTGCCCTGACAGGAGCTGATTCAGTTTGTTCAGATGAGAGAGAGCCAAGACATTTATGCCCATTCAGACTGAGTTTCAACAAACCTAAATTATCTGCAAAGCTTTTGACTTCTTCAAGCAGGGAGAATGTAAAAAATAGTTGGTTTTTCTTTTGGTTTTCTTTATAGATCATATAGTATGTGAAAACGTTTTGGTACACTGTAGTACAGTTACGGATTATGCACATATACATAAATTTATATTAAATGAACGTGTTCAAATTACGATTGGTTGTATCAGTTTCAGGAAGCCAATTCTCCAGAAAACATAAGACATCAGTTTGCAGTTCTAATCTAGCAAATCTAATTAGCAATCACCTTGAGAGAAAAACATCCATTGTTTATATATTACCAATTAACTGGCTGAGAGCTCTCTAATGAAACAAATAGGATCCCACTTCCCCGAATAACACAAACGCTGTAGAAACGTGTATGTAAATCTAACGGTTATGAATGTGTTTGTAATTATACCTTGTTGTTTTTTCACTCTGCTCATTTATGAGTTTTCTTTTTAAAAGAAGTGTCTTCTTCTAAAGAGAAGTTTTATTTTTTAGCCAAATATTTTGCTTTTTAGCACAGTTAGACCCTGTTAATAAAATTAAAGCAAAATCCACAACATGTCTTCCTTGTTTATTTTACACAGTAATTATGTGGATTCACATAAAGTAACTGCTATACAGAATACAGTCTTCAAGACACAAAGGTGTGTTGTAGTTTGTACCTTTTCTGCTTTTTTTGCAAGACTCCGCTTGTGTCCTGTGGTACATTGAGCATCTTCTCTTTATAGGGAACCTTTCAGGTGGGTTTGAA